CCCCGCTCACATGTGGTTCCTGTTGCTTTGCCCCTTCCCCCCCCCTCCCTCTCTCTGGTTTTGCTTTGTTTGTTTTTCTGTTAATTTGGTTGTTTTTCCATGTCGTTTTCCGTCAAACCGCATGTTTTTTCCCCTTTCTCTCGCCAGCCGCTGCAGTGACAGACACAGAGGAAGGAGACCAGCCCGGAGCTGCTTGTCCTCTGCCAGTCCCTTTCCCACCATCGCCTGGGAGGCAGCGATACCCAGGGGGCAGGACTGGGGCTGGCAGTGAGCTACGAGCCCCCCAAGCCACCACTGCGAGGCAGGGGGCAGCTCCCCTTGCTTGCATCCCGACCTGCATCCCTGCTGCTGGAGGGGATTTCGCTGTATTTTCTCTCCCACACAGAGCCCATCCCTGCCTGCATCCCAGCAGTGCTTGGGCATCCCCAAAGCCAGGCAGTGACAGGAAAGAAGAGGTACAAACGGGCAGAGCCGTCAGGACAGGATGGAGATAAGCAGGTTAAAAAGGGACGGACGGACAGGAGCGGGAGGACGGATGCCCGCCCTGGCTGCCTCCCTCCCTCCCTTCTTTGCACACAAGGCCTCCCCGCTCCCATGTGCGCTCTCCGGCTTCTGGCAGCCTTTCCGCCGCGCGTTTCCACTCCTCTCTGGCCCATTAGCAGTATTTTTATAACATTCTGTAATGCACGGAGCCGTGTGCCAAACCTCAAGAGCACATTATTTCCCAACGTCTTTGTTATATCCATCCCCGGGCCCTCCGCCCGTGCCTTTCCAAACACAGAGCTGCAGCTCACGGGGGCAGCCGGGAGCCCGGCGCCGTGCTCCTGGTACCCAGAGCCTTCCCTTCCCGCCTGCCCACTCCCAGTCCTCAGCCCTGGGCTTGATACAGAGATGCCCGGCATGTAAAAAGAAGCTGTGGCTGCCCCATCCCTGGAAATGTTCAAGGCCAGGCTGGATGGGGCTTTGAGCAACCTGGTCTGGTGGGAGGTGTCCCTGTCCATGGCAGGGGGGTTGGAACTCGATGATCTTTAAGGTCCCTTCCAACCCGAACCATTCTATGATTCTATTAAAAAACCCTGGCCCCATCGCCTGCTGCTTCTGGCCATGCTCAGGCATCCATCACCCTTCAGGCTGTGGGGCAGGTAACCCACTGGAGATAAAAATGCAGCATCCTGGTTGCTCTCCTGTGCTTCACCTCACACTCAGCTGCCTAAAAAAAGTGAGTCAGAGCAACATGCCGCTCCTTGAAGTCCCCTGGAAGAGGCTGTCCTGGACATGGGCCACTTTCCTCTGGGGTGGTCTATGCTTGGGATGCTTCACACCCTGGAGGTGGGTGATCTGGGACCCCTAGGGATAAGCAAGCCTGTGGGCCCTTCCTCCTCTCTGAGATGGGCTCTTCATCCTTAGGTCACTCCATCTCTGGATGCTCACTGTCCCCGCTGTATGTGTGCAGGTACCTCCACCTCTGCAGGGGATGAGACAGACTGGCTACCCCCAGTCTCCATGGGGTGCTGCTGAGCTCCTGGCCACATGCCCCATGATGTGGACCCAGGTATCAAATCCCACCTCAAGGACCAGTTGAGCTACTTGTGCCCTCCCACCCGCCTGCTGAAGGACATTGACGAGACACCTTCCTGCACTTCGTGCCTTTTGCACTATTTTGTAGAATCCTGTCTCCTCCAGCATGAAATTCTCACCCCAGAAATTCCATGGGTTCCCCCACAGCTACCAACACATCCCACTGGAGTTCCCTGGTCCTTGTGGGCCAGAGCCATTATGGGAAACACCACTGAGAGCGGTCCAAAGGCTGATGCCGAAGCTCCCCCATCCCTCCCAGCAATTCCCCTTTCAGCACAATCTGGTCCCCTTTAGCCATTTCCTAAGCCGTGTTCCAACTCTTGTACTAATCCACATTTTCTCTGGTTTAACTCATAATTTCCCATGTGGCACCGTAGCAAATACTTCACTGAAGTCAAGACAGATTATATCGACCACATTTCTGGGCTTAGGAAATCAGTTCCATTATCAAAGAGAGTTATCAGGTTAATCTGGTGTGATATATCCCTGGCAAGTCCCCCTTATATTTTTGTCCCATTTTCCATTTGTCTCCATGTCTTTAATTGTTCCCTCTTCAAGCGCACCCCGTGGCCCCGCTGTGCTGTGGGGTCAGGCTGTCTGATCGGGATTTTTCCTTCTCTCAAGCACAGGAGACATGTCGCCTCCCCCCATGGCGCCGGGTACCACCAGTGACCTCTCAGCCGCTAACGAGCATTGCTAATGAACAGGAGATGTCCTCACCTGGGGATGAGGTGCTCCCCAAGCCTTCAATGAACTGTTTTCTTTGAAGGTGCCTACAAGGTGGAGAACCGTTCTCCAGGTTTTATCCTCCTTCCTCTCCCCTAGCCTGCGTTGCCCTCGCTGTCAGCATTGGCGGGGTTCATTCGGTGCTCTGCCGAGCTTACCTTTAATCTCCCCTAAAACCTGGCTGCGTAGCCAGCTCTGCTCTTCTCTCCTCGTTTGCTCCGTATTTATATGGCTAACCCCTCCTTTTCATTTCCTCTGCAAGGTCTCGCTCAGCTTGACTCCTGGCAGGTCTCCCTTCATCCCTGTGCTCGCTGACCCCCATGACGGAGCTGGCTTTGCGAACTGACACCTTTTCCCGGTCCCTCCACACATCCTTCCTGCAGTGTCTTCTGCCCAGGAGGACCCCTGCCTTGCCTGGGGGGCACGCTCCAGGTACACTAATTTATTTAATGAGATCCCCAGCACTTCTCCCTGCACGGCCCTCAACCCCTCACTCCCGCCGCCAACGTCTTTCTCGTTGTCCCACTAAGAGGGGGGAGCACAGGCATAGGCCTGTTTTCATTTAACTTCCCGTGCAATTGAAGCGAAATGAGTCCAAGATCCTTCAAATCCCAAGTCTGGGCTCCCAGTGCGCTCAGCTGCGGCAGGGGTGCGACCACAGGGACATGCTGCAAGCCTTCCATGAGCTGTCCACCTCCTCCATCATCTCCATCTCCACCTCCATCCCCGACCCCTCCTGGGATGCTCCCAAACCTGCTTCCCCACAGCAGACCCTGCACCTCCAGGGAGTCAATTGTGCCCCGCCAAGGCAGGAAAGTTGGGGGGAGGTGGTTCATGAAGGGGCTGGGGATGGCAGTGGGGATGGGAAAAGAAACCTTGCAGGGAACATTAAATTAAAATCCAGGCAATTAAATTAATTACCGCTAAAAGCGTCTCACCTGATTAGTTCCTTGCATACTTAATTGCATTAACAACACCGGGCATTCACTTGTTTATTTGTGGCCCTCTCTCCTGGGGTTGGTGGCCCTGCAGTGTCCGACCAAGTTCCTCAGCTGCCCGGTGCTCAGGGGGGCTGTGAGCTGCCAGCAAATGGGAACACACGGTAATAGGAAACAGCAGGATTTGGGCTCTAACACTGAGCAATTCCCACGGGTCCCTGAGCGGATTGACAGGGATTACTATTAGCGAGGTGCTTAGCAGATGGAAGAGCCATTGCAAAGTCACGGGGATGCCACAGCTGCAGAGGAGGCGGTTGGAGGCTGCAGCCCCCCCTCCCAGCTCCCCTCGTTTCCTCCAGACCTGGGCTGCAGCCCCCCTTGCACTGGCACAGCCTGGGACCTCTCCCCAGATGGGATCTGGTCAGCACATGCCCAAGCGGAGGAGCTGCACAGCTTCCTCCTCCTCCTCCTGCTGCTGCCTGATCTCTGCACCCAGCTCCTGCCTCCAGACCACCCCTGAACATCTCCTCACCCTGACAGCGTGGCTGAGAGCCCTCTGACTCATCTGCCACTGCCTTTTTGTCCGCCGTACCCCCCAGCCCCAACACCTATTCACAGCCATACCCCCTGCCCTATGCTGACTGCTGCCCCCCTCACTTCTCACGTTGCCGTTCAGCTTCTTCCAGCACCCCTTTCCCCTTGGTGCATGTGCCAGGAACCCTCCCAGTGGACCCCAAAACCGTGAGTTGGACACTGTGCAGCATCCCTGAAACTCGCATTTCTTCAGCCTGACCCACAGGTGCAGAGAGCTGCTCCTGTCTGATTTGCAGGGCTTATGCAGGCTGTGGCTGGTCCTCCTGCAACCTTCTGCCCCTGGACCACGGTTGAGGATGGAAAACGCCACCCTGGTTCTGACTCAAGGTGCTGAAGCTTGGTGCTGACTTGGGTCCGACTCAAGGCGCTGTTCCTGACAAGGAGCAGAGAAAAGCTCTGCCACGTCCCTCCCCAGAACCTAGGAACGTACGGCCACCTACACGATGTGTCCCCAGCTGGTGGGGCTCCCATCTGGTGCCTCGCAGCATCCTGCGCAGCAGCCACCATCCCACGACCAGCTACGCCGGCTGGTGCTGCCAGACACCCACCCGCTGCCGGTCGCAGAACGCCGTGCTGCCAGACACGCCGCTGCTGTCAGCTGTACAAACACAGCAGCCCACCCAGCACACAGCTGCTATCGGCTCTCGGCATCGTGTGAAATACAGCACTGCTCTTATCTCCCGCACCCAGACCTGTAAATCAGCACGTCTCACTCCGGAGACACGCGAAATCCCGGGGAAATGCGCTGCTGTCCTGCAGCACACCTGCACATGGGGGGCTCCTGCAGACACACAGCAACCGCCACCACCTTCTCGGCTGCTCCTCCGAAACAACCGTGTGGCAGTAAACCCAGCCAGGGTACCTCCTTCCCCCTCTGACAGCTCAACCCCAACTCTTTCCACTGGTGGAGATGGTGGTTGTTGCACTGGGCTGGGTGGAGAGACAACGTCCCTTCCCAAGTTATTCCTGGGGCATCATTTCATCCACCATCTTTGATGCAAAGTTTGGCGCAGGAAGGACTGATTATGACATTGTGGGGAGCTCGCATGTCCATATGCATGGAGAGCAGAGGGGGTGGCATGGCAGGAGGGGGCTGTGAGGGGTCAATATGGGAGCAGGGAGCATGGCCCTGTCCCCCGCAGTGTCACACGCCAGGGTACTCACTTCCCACCATCAGGTAGGTCTGGTATTTGAGGTGCCAGGAGGAGCCCTCGTAGCAGGAGTACTGGCCGCTCTGCGTCAGGTCGACGTTCTTCAGGATCAGGTAGGACCCGTTCAGGTGGGACTCGTCGATGTCGGTGCCATTGGCCTTCCAGGCCACAGCTGTGTCCCAATCCATGGAGCCACACTTCATGGTCACATCTGCGCCTACCCGCTCGTACTGGATGTGGCTGTCTGTGGGGAGGAAGAGGAGAAAACCAGGTGAGCTCTGATGGCTGCCTTGGAAACAGCATCTTACCATTGTTTGTATGGGAAGCGAGGAAAGGACATGGGCATGGACTGGCACTGTGGTGGTGGCTAGGGAAGCCTGGCTCTGTTCTCCAGTTCTCCTCCTGATAATGACTCTGACAATGACTTATTTTAATCATTGACCAGAGTGGCTCAACTAGCATGGACCAGAGGATAGGGACTCATAGAATCATGGAAGGGACCTTAAAGATCATCCAGCTCCAACCCCCCTGCCATGGGCAGGGACACCTCCCACCAGACCAGGTTGCTCAAAGCCCCATCCAGCCTGGCCTTGAGCACTTCCAGAGACGGGGTATCCACAGCTTCTCTGGGCAACCTGTTCCAGTGACCTATGGACCACCTCCATACCTTCAGCTCACAGGATGCCTTCCTCTGACCTTAACCTTGGAGGAGATACATCAGGGATGTATATATGGCTCACCAGCCAAATGCCCCACAGCACAGCCTGGTGCTCACACCAGCAAGTCACTGCCTCTCCCCTATCTACTTGGCTTGCTGCAGGATGCAAACCTAAATGCACACATCGGAAATTCCCAGCAGAGAGGTGACAGAGCCCCAGGACTTGTCACCAGCAAACTCAAGTTATTCACTAGTGGAGGTGGGAAGCCGGCAGCTGCCCTGGCAATTCTCTGCCTGGGAAATCAGGTGGGAGGATGGCAGCCTAACCATGCTGTGCCTTGGGAAGGGGCAGCTGCTCGGTGCAGGCTGTGCTGTTTGTCTCCCTGCCTGTCTTTTCTTCCTGCTCTACAATAACACGGTGCCTTGCTGAGCTGTTTGATTTAGCGTGTGGCGAGTGGGGCAATACAGCTCATTGGGCACCAGCTGCCTAATTGAATTTTCTCAGGTTTCTGGACAGGAGCTCGAGCTGACATTCATTAATGATGCTTAACAATTGAATCCTTCCTGTCTTGCTACACTGGCTGTGCTGAGCTGCGTGTGGCAAGGATAAAACCATGGGGGTGTGTGGGGGGTGAAGCAGGACAGGGGGATGAGTGGGGATGAGGTTCCTTCAAGGCTTCATCAAGCCTTTGCGCACAGGCAAGGGCTGTTCAGTTCTCAAAATACTCCTGGGTTTCAAAAACACATTTGACAAGGTGCCTCCCAAGGAAACCAAGCAGCCCTGACACAGGGGGAAAGTCCTCTCCAGGATTTATAGCAGCTAAAGGTCAGGAGACCAAAGGTGAGAACAAGCGGTCAGACGTGGCAGTAGAAGACGTCACCGGTGAAGTTTGGCAGAGATATCAGAGCTGGATCAGAGCTGCCCAACACCCTCGTAACTCACAGGGAGAAGGGGGCTGAGGCAGGGAGAGGGGACAGACAGGGGCAGGCAAATCACAGCCGGGTGCAAAAGCAGTGCAGAAGGACGTGGTGGCACAGACCCACCAGCTGGTAACGCCGTGTCAATAAACGCACAGGGAGGCACACACAGAAAATTGAGCCTCACTTCTCCCACCCCTCAACGGCTCCAAATAAGCTGCAGCCTCCATGGAGGTAACCTCTTGGAGTTACCGTGCTCGCTTCCCCAAAAGCATCAGCTCGGTGGTGACCAAAAAGGCAAACCCAAATCTAGGAATTATTCAGAAAGGGATTGAGAAGAAAGTACCCTAAAAGCCGCGCACAAACCTATCCCAGTGACATTAGGAGTACAGTTCAGCTGAAAATGGAGCAGAGAGAGAAAACGGGGAAGGGCAAAGGCTGGACACAGCCCCCACCTAAGGAGGGCTTAACAGACTCCATCCCTTCATCCGTAAAAGGAGACAACCGAGCAGAGATGTGACAGACACCTAAGGAATACTGAGTGACATGGAGAGGATGAATAGAGGAGGACTGCTTGCACCTTTTCCTAATAAAATAATTAAAGGGCAGCAAATGAAAACAAGCAAAAGAAGTGCTTTTTCACAGAAAGTGTGATTAAATTACAGAAACCCACGTCCGTCAAATGCTGTGGATGTCAACATTTTGGGGAAAATAGAAATTAAATTAATCCATAGAAGAAGACACCACCGAGGGCAGTAAAACACTGAGCTGCCTGGTGAGCCTGGGGAGGCTGCAGGCAGCTGATGGTGCGGAGGGACAGGAGAAGCACCCCCCATGCTTGTCCTGCTCTTTTCTCCCTCTCTAGACATAGTCACTGGGTCACTGAATTTCACTGAATTTTTTAGAGTTGGAAGGGACCATAGAGATCATCTAGTCCAACTCCCCTGCTGAAGCAGGATTGCCCAGAGCTTGTCAGAGCATGTTACTCAGGGCTGCATCCAGGCGGGTCTTGAAAATCTCCAAAGAAGGGGACTCCACAACCTCCCTGGGCAGCCTGTTCCAGGGCTCTGTCACCCTCACCATGAAGAAGTTTTTTCTCCTATTTGAGTGGAACCTCTTATGTTCCAACTTGTGCCCGTTGCCCCTCGTCCTCTCACTGGCAACCACTGAAAAGAGTCTGGCTCCCTCCTCCTTCAACCCACCCTTTAGATACTTATAGGCATTGATAAGGTCTCCCCTCAGCCTTCTCTTTTCCAGACTAAAGAGTCCCAGCTCTCTCAGCCTTTCTTCATAAGGGAGAAGCTCCAACCCTTGAATCATCTTCATTGCCCTTCACTAGACTCTTTCCAGTAGTTCCCTGTCCCTCTTGAACTGGGGAGCCCAGAACTGGATGCAGTATTCCAGTTGTGGCCTCACCAGTGCAGAGTAGAGGGGGAGAATGACCTCCCTCGACCTACTGGCCACACTCTTCTTTATGCAGCCCAGGATTCCGTTGGCCTTCCTGGCCACAAGAGAACATTGCTTGCTCATTGTCATTTTGCTGTCTACCAGGACACCCAGATCTTTCTATTCGGATCTTGTCTCCAGCAGGCTGACGCCTAACCTGTATTAGTGCCTGACATTCTACTTCCCCAGGTGCAGGACCCTACAGATTAGTGAGGGGCAGTCTTAGCAGTGATTGCTGTTGATAGCTGGGACCACATGAGCATGATCCAGCTATTCCTTCTGTGAAAGCCCAAAGCCTGAGCCCATCTGCAAAAGAGAGAGACCCAAGGTGAAGATGGCCTAGGGGGAGACCGTGGTAGGTCTGAGTCCTCCTGCAGATGGTGTGTCAGGACACCTACTTCAGAGAAGGAAGCAGTACCTCTGGGGGTACTATCCCTGCTGGGAAAGAGGGTGCTAAGAAGAAACAAGGAAAAATTGGTTTGTTGTGAGTAAGGTGCTGGTGAGATGCCTCAGAATCATTTCAGATACTAGCTAAGGGCGGGGAACCTTTGAGAAACTGCACTGATCAGACAAGTGTGTTTCAAGTGTCCTAAAAAAGCTTGGAGCGTACACTGACAGCCAGAAAGAGAGGAGGCATCTGTGTGAGGAAGGGAAGCTGGAATGGGTCCAGATAAACAGGGAGATAGGCAGAAGTGTGGAAGAAGATGGATGGGTGGACGGAAGAATGAATGCATGTGACCGCAGACAGAGGGACAGCTGGCTGGAGGGGCACAGATGGGATGAAGGGAAATTTATGAAGATGAAAGGATGGATGATACGCCAGTGGATGGATGGATGGATGGAAGGATGGATGGGCATATATGGGGATGCAGAGATGTGTAAGAGCATGAAGGGGTAAGAATATAAGCACGGCAATGGATGTGTATGGAGGGATGGGTGGACAGATGGGTGGGTCAGTGGGTGGACAGATGGGTGGGTCAGTGAAGGAAGGGAGGGATGGAAGGACCAATGAACAGCAGCGGAGTTGGGTGGATGGTTGGCTGTTTGAACGGCTGTGGAGATGGATGGATGGCTGGATGGACAGACGGACACACAGACGACTAGGCAGATGGGTGGGGGGACAGTTACAGATAGCAGAGCTAACATAAGAGTCCCAGCACTTTACTCAATTTCTCCTCTAATTTCTTCTCTTACATAAGGTGAAGATATTTTCTCTTCCCCTTTCCTGCTGGGTTACAAAAGGCCATTGACTCTCCTGGCCTTACACTTGGGGATCTGCCCAGCAGAGAAACTGGAGACACTGCATCACCCAATAGCCTTGCATGGAGAAAGGCTCATTGCAGTGATGGGTCCACAAATCTGTCTGCCTTGCCTGGCTCCTGCCTGCCCAGTGCCTGCCCCTGGGAAGGCTCAAGAGCAGGGGGAAGCTTTGGGGTTCTTAATTCTGCTTCTAAGGACTTGGCTGAGACCTTGTCTGTAGCTGGTGGCAGCAGGACTAAGCTGGGAAGGGGGAAAGGCACCTTGAATTATTTCCTATTTGTCCTTAAACACAGTGCAAACATGTTGGCACTCATCCAGAAGGACTGAGGGAGCCATTCCTGGAAGACAGGTCTTTGAAAGCAATGCTCCTTTCCAAGTCAATGATTTAAGGCTCCTGACGAAGAAGAAACCCAAAGCACAGTTTCAGAGGAGGCGTTTCCCCCAGCTGGCTTTGCTGAGGCTCTTACTGGAGCTCAGCCAGGTCCTCACATCCCTCCTGCCCCATTCCATCCCTCCTGCCCCATTCCAGCCATAGGACTCCCACCCATGAGAATGCATGGCAGCTCCACTGGCAGGTGTCACCTCCCTTTGGGAAGGGGCACCATGGGGGCAGTCCCCCCTGCCCTCATCCAAGCTGGAGCAGCCCTGTCCTGTGCTGTGGACACCAGTTCTGCTTTAAGATGGGGATGGGCAAGAGTGACCACAGCTTTTACTGGGACCCTCCACTTCCCACAGGCTGGGTATAGGCAGGACCCCCCTGCCCCCAGCTCACCCAGAGCCTCACAGGTCCCTCAAACAGGGAGGGGAAGGAGGTTTGTCCCCACTCCTGGTAGTCATATCACTGGTAACACAGGGAATGAGAGGCTGAGGTGGTGCCTGTGCTGCAGGGCCAGTCCTCCTGGCTGGACACCAACAGGTGGCACAGGCAGAACAAGGGCCAACAGCCAGGAGGTCCAAGCTGG